TGCATTTTTCTCAATTCCTTTGGCAGCAGAGTGCAGGCCACAGTTTGCTTTTACTTGGAGAGGTGTCCAGTTCACTTGGAACCGACTGCCCCAGGGGTGGAAACACAGCCCTACCATTTGCCATGGACTGATCCAGACTGCACTGGAACAGGGGCAAGCTCCAGAACACCTGCAATACATTGATGACATTATTGTGTGGGGCGATACAGCGGAAGAAGTCTTTGAGAAAGGGAGGAAAATAATCCAAATTCTGCTGAAAGCCGGTTTTGCCATAAAACGGAGTAAGGTCAAGGGACCTGCACAGGAGATTCAATTTTTGGGAATAAAATGGCAAGATGGACGTAGACAGATCCCCACAGATGTGATCAACAAGATAACAGCAATGTCTCCACCAACTAATAAGAAAGAAACGCAAGCTTTCTTGGGTGCAGTGGGGTTCTGGAGAATGCACATCCCAAATTACAGTTTGATTGTAAGCCCTCTCTATCATGTGACCCGGAAGAAGAATGATTTTAAATGGGGCCCTGAGCAGCAACAAGCCTTTGAGCAAATTAAATGCGAGATAGTTCATGCAGTAGCCCTTGGACCAGTTCGGACCAGTCCAGATGTAAAAAATGTACTGTACACTGCAGCTGGGGAGAACGGTCCTACCTGAAGCCTCTGGCAGAAAGCTCCAGGGGAGACTCGAGGTCGACCCCTCGGCTTTTGGAGTCGGGGATATAAAGGATCTGAGGCCAGCTATACCCCAATTGAGAAAGAGATACTGGCAGCCTATGAAGGGGTTCAAGCTGCTTCGGAAGTGATTGGCACTGAAGCACAGCTCCTCCTGGCACCCCGGTTGCCCGTGCTGGGCTGGATGTTCAAAGGCAGGGTCTCCTCTACACATCATGCAACTGATGCTACATGGAGTAAATGGGCTGCACTAATTACACAACGAACTCGAATAGGAAATCTCAGTCGTCCAGGCATTCTAGAAGTCATCATGGACTGGCCAGAGGGCAAAGATTTTGGAATGTCACCAGAGGAGGAGGTGGTGCGTGCTGAAGAGGCCCCACCATATAATAAACTGTCAGAAAGTGAAAAGCAGTATGTCTTGTTTACTGATGGCTCTTGCCGTATTGTGGGAAAGCATCGGAGATGGAGGGCAGCTGTATGGAGTCCTGGACGACAAGTTGCAGAAACTGCTGAAGGAGAGGGTGAATCGAGTCAGTTTGCCGAGGTGAAAGCCACCCAGCTGGCCCTGGACATTGCTGAATGAGAAAAGTGGCCAGTACTTTATCTCTATACTGACTCATGGATGGTGGCAAATGCCCTGTGGGGGTGGTTGAAGCAATGGAAGCAGAGCAACTGGCAATGCAGAGGTAAACCCATCTGGGCTGCTGCACTGTGGAAAGATATTGCTGCCAGGGTGCAGAACCTGGTGGTGAAGGTACGTCATGTAGATGCCCATGTACCCAAGAGTCGGGCCACTGAGGAACACCAGAACAACCAACAAGTGGATAAAGCGGCTAAGATTGAAGTGGCTCAGATGGACTTAGATTGGCAACATAAAGGTGAATTATTTTTGGCCCGGTGGGCCCATGACACTTCAGGCCATCAGGGCAGAGATGCAACATATAGATGGGCCCGTGATCGAGGGGTGGACTTAACAATGGACACTATTGCCCAGGTTATTCATGAGTGTGAAACATGTGCTGCAATTAAACAAGCCAAGCGGTTAAAGCCTCTTTGGTATGGAGGACGATGGTTGAAGTATAAATATGGGGAGGCCTGGCAGATTGACTATATCACACTGCCACCAACCCGCCAAGGCAAGCGCCATGTGCTTACCATGGTGGAAGCAACCACCGGGTGGCTGGAAACACATGCTGTGCCCCATGCCACTGCCCGGAACACTATCCTGGGCCTTGAGAAACAGATTTTGTGGCGACACGGCACCCCAGAGAGAAATGAGTCAGACAATGGGACTCATTTCTGGAATAACCTTATAGACACTTGGGCCAAAGAGCATGGCATTGAGTGGATATATCACATCCCCTACCATGCACTAGCCTCTGGGAAAATCGAATGGTACAATGGGCTGTTAAAAACTACACTGAGAGCAATGGGTGGGGGCACTTTCAAGCATTGGGATACACACTTACCAAAGGCCACCTGGTTGGTCAACACCAGAGGATCTGCCAACAGGGCTGGCCCAGCCCAGTCAGAACTTTTACATATTGTAGAGGGGGACAAAGTTCCCATGGTGCATATGAAGAATTTGCTGGGGAAGACAGTCTGGGTAATTCCTGCTTCAGGTAAAGGCAAACCCACTCGTGGGATTGCTTTTGCTCAGGGGCCTGGATATACTTGGTGGGTAATGCGGGAAGATGGGGAAGTCTGATGTATACCTCAAGGGGATTTGATTTTAGGGGAAAACAGCCAGTGAACTCAATTGTATGCTGTTGCCTGCTGTGTAATGCTTTTATAGCCCATCAACTAGATGTCTCCAGGTCACCAGCGACTGGCCCTGACTTCCCTCCAGCCATCATCCCAACAGAGAATGAACTTTGAACATCATGGACCAAATGGACTCGGCAGCATTATAGGGATTGGTCCATGCACTAAGAAAATGATCTTTTCCTCTTGGTCTGTATGTATATGGATGTATGTATATGGGAGAGCAATGGTGTATTGAAAATGTGGGATCTGAGCACGACGTGAATGGTATGGAATAAGGGGTGGATAATGTCCTGGGTTCAGCAGTAGCAGTCATGTTTTTTTTTCCCTTTGTGTTAGCTGGTGCAGTGCTGTGTTTTGACTTCCAGCCTGAGAACAGTGTTGGTGAAGTCGATGTTTTCGGTTGTTGCTAAGTGATGTTTACCCTGACCAAGGACTTTGCAAGGCTCATGCTCTGCCAGGGAGGAGGGGAAGCCGGGAGGAAGCAGAGATGGGGCGCCTGACCCGGGCTAGCCAGGGAGGTATTCCATACCACAGCACGTCATGGCCGGGGTGGGGGGTGACTGGGAGTTACCCGGAAGGACACGGGCTTCCGAGTGGAACTTGTTTTCTTGGCCGGTGGTATCGTATTCTCTTCCCTTGTTATTTTCCCTTATCATTGTTGTAGTTGATAGTAGCGGTGGTGATTTGTGTACATTGGTTGTTGGACTGTTCTTGTCTCAACCCATAGGAGTTGCACTCTTCCGATCCTCCTCCCCGTTCCCCCGGGAGTGAGGAAGGGGAGAACCCCAGTGGGGGGGGGACACGGACCTCGATTGTTGTCAGCTCGGCACCACTCACTGGGAGTGAGTGAACAAGTTACCTGACTGGGTTTAAACCACAACAGTGAGAAAGTTCAAATCAGTAGCAATCAGTATTCTTCAGGCCTAATTTTCCACCTGATAAATGAGGACAAATTTAATTAAGAAAGGTGAATTTGGGAATTCTAATAGCAGACCATCTCTGCTTGTGCATGGCTTCCTCAAAAAGTCTTTTCTCTGAGCATGTTCTGATAGTAGTCACTGCACCAAGAGTGCAGTGTCTTTCAGCTGTGTGCTTCAGGATTTTTTCATTTTACCCTGTGTTTGACTTGGTCTCCATCTTAATTTTAAGTTTCATGTATAAAATAGCAAATCTTAAGCGAGACGGGATGGATGCAATTGCATCATTTTTCATGAAAACAATAGTCTGACTTCTTAAAATACTCGTTCTGATTGTCCCTCTTTATCTTGTGGATAAGGACTTTTTGGAAGTGTCTGCTCTCCATGGACAGATTTTGGTGTTACTGTTATTGCATCTTCCTTACAGCCTTTGCGTTGCAAATTTCACAACTTGCCTCATCCCATCTGTTTACCCCAGGGCTTCTTTTAAGTATCATCTGAACCTGATCCTCCTCATCTTTAGTTTATTTTTTTCTCTCCCTCTGCCTTTTTAGCGTGGATTTGTTTGTTTACTGTCACACTGCAAGGGACGGTGGGAAGGTAATTGCTTATGAGATATAGTATAGATTTTATTATTGATCACATTGTGCAGTAACAGTAGGATGTCAAACTGAATTTTAAGCTCTTTAATGTTGCTTCATTGGTGATGGCTGCTAAATGATGTACCCTTACAGATATGTCATGAGTCTTGTTTTTTGGATTAGACTTCAGACATTCCTGAAAGCTTAACTAGTTCTTTGTGATAAAGCAGTTTAGAAACTTAATTTATTTGTTATTAGATTGTTTCAGACATTATCTTTGACCTGTAGCTTTAATGTTATACAGATGCAGGTGCAGCCCTAACACAGTGTCTGTTTTGTGTCAGAGAGTTGTGAGCTCTCTGCACATAAGGCTTGTAGAGAAAGCACCAGACACAGCTGAGGGTCTCTGCTGCAGGCGTCTGACCAGAGCAGGGTCTCCGCATAGACCACCCTGAATTCAGGTATAGAAGGAAGGAAAATCCTGTTGTCTGTGGTGCTCCAAATAGGTGAAATTTCAAATATACTCTGTGTGGAATGGTGACATTTTGTGCTGAATCTCTGTTTCACTAAAGGTAGAGACTTCTAGATTTTTGCATCTCTCTTACAGTCAATTATTACAGTTCAAATATTTTCAATTTTATTTTCAAGTACACCATGGAGAAATTCCAAGCCAGCTTCTCTGTTTGTATCCTTAATATTCCCAGTTCTGTTTTATACTCTGACGTTTTGTTACCAGTGTATTGCTTCTCTCTATTTAGACGGAAATTATTTGTCGGTAAAACCAATTCTGATGTAACTGTATATTGTATGTTTTTTCAAGGTGGTCATACAAATTGTGCTGTTAAAATGTAAACCTTCAATTTGTGTGTAGAAATGTCCTTTGAAAGAAGAGGAAATCTAAACATCCAAGCCAGCCTATTTTAAATGGTGTATCTATTTTGTCCTATTCCTTAGTTTTCTTTATTTGATCCACTGTATATTTAATATTTGAAACCGCATGGCTAATGTCTTGTTGAATAAGCTTTTCTAAATGTTTTCACTTTTCCATTTCTCTCTACAGGTAGAAGAAATTGTTGATATAGGAGCATTTGCCCCAGAAGACATTCATGTTCCCAAAATCTATGTTGATCGTCTGATACAAGGAGAGAAGTTTGAGAAGAGAATTGAAGTAAGTAGCTGAGTGTTTGGTCACAATATATTTCAGCTTGGTGGGTATTTTAGAATATATAGGGTTTTACTCTAGACACCAAGTCTTAGCACTGAGAACACAGTGTTAGAAACGCTTGTTGAGTTTTGCTAGAAGCTTGGGTAGGTACTTACGTAGTTAGTAGTTAGGTGTGGGCCTGAGAATCAAGCATTGTTTCCTATACCTCAGCCTCTCTGGTTCATTCCCTGAATAATTTAAGAGCAACAGCCTGTAGTCCTGGGGGCTCTAACGCAGCGGCAGTTTTGATGGAAAATGCTACCTCTTTCTCCTTCCTTCTCTCACTTCACCTACTGCAGACACAACAAGGGGAGCACATAGACTTATGAGCTGTCTTTGATCAGATGTTTTCTGCTGTAGAGCTTTTGATATGAACATGTAGGGCCAGCATCAGCCCCTTTTTTTTTGCTGTGTATTGAATTATATTACATTGCAAAGGCCCCTTTCTTTTTCATTAATCAGTGGCATTTCTGGTCTGCATAAGATGTCAATAGCAACATCACAGCAATAATATTCTGTCACTGAAAAATGAGGATTACATAATTGTTCTTTGTTTCTGTGGCTTTGCCCACTCAGGCTATGTCCCTATATTATTAATTTTGGTGATTTGACAGTGCTTTTAAAGTGTAATTGAAAATTCTTATTTCTCCTATGTCTCCATACTCTGGAGGTGGGAATTATTCAAAATGTCATAAGAAGAGCTGGTGGAGGGGGAGATATATGACGTAAGGAAAAAGAAGCATCTCAAAAAACAGTGCAGAAAAGAATAGTAATAATTAAACTTTTAATATTAAAATCAAGTCATAAAGTCCTAGCAAGTCATATAAGGCCTTTTCTCTGATTAAACTCTTTCATGAATGTTAGGTTAAAAAGCATTTTTTTTCTTCGTTCCATCTGTTCATTCTGCAAAAACATATTGCATGTTGTTGAGTATTTAACTGGAAACAAATGTGTCAAATATATTTTCTTCCTTTCTCTTTTTTTTTCTTTGTGCATGTTTTGTTGTACTTACGTTAATGGCCTGTATTATTGAGGATGCAATATCTCACATAAAAGCTTTCGCCTTTTACAAGCAAAATCCATTCTGCATTAATTATATTGCTGTTTTCACTGCAGTTTGGCAGTGGATGAAAAGGTGACTCTCTGTCCAGAGAAGACCTTTGTACAAACACCTGATTTTCTTTGGGTTGCCTATATAAGTAAATACACCTACATAGTCAACTGCCTTGTTTCCTATATACTTCAGGAAAAAATGAAGGGGTGTGGGAGGAGAACTACTATAAATGGCTCAGCAAAGGAACAGAGATTATTTTTGGTTGTGTAATTTTGTAATTCTGGCAGTGGTGCCTTTCATTAATAGAAGCATAGGAAGGAAACGGTAGATTTATTTACTCTTCCATAAAAGATTAGGTATAAGGAAGTAGCTGTACATATGAAAGTGCTGAGTATGTTAGTGGTAAGAGGAGAGATGAGAAATAAAGAGAATAAGAAGAATCTAGTCTGTTGTAATTCTTGCTGGATTTAAATAGCATTTCCTTCTTAATTTGGCCTAGACGTGGTCCCACTAGTGCAAGTCATACTCTCTGTCCAACCTTCTCTTTGCTGCAGAGAAACCCTCTGTGATTGTTCTTTTTCTGTAACTTGCAAGTGAAGCAATTGTAGGGAAATAGCCAAGGCAGAAAAAGAAAGCCTCTGGGGAATTCAAGAGGATTTATACTGACTGTTTCTGGCTGCCTGAGAGGAAAGTGACTTCCAACATGGAGAAAAAAGAGACTGCAAAATTTTTTTTTTTGTGGTGATGAAAAGTAACAGAGTATAATTTTGCATGATGTGTTCATTATGGCCTGAAGTAGGAAGGCGTGTGAAAAATAATGGGGGTGCAGGACATGGTGCTACTCAGAGCAGTTTTATATACATGGGAGAGATGTGCAAAGAACATAATCAATGTAAACAATAATTTTCAAAAAAAGTCTTGCAAACTTCTGGAATATCATGGCATTTTCACCAATGTGTGATTTAGAAAGCATTAACTTAAGGGCAGAAAATATCAGGAAAAAACTTCGGGCATATTTTGCAAGATTATACAGACTTATGTTTGAAAATTTGGTTGTTTAGCTCCCAGTATCTTTGGATGACTGGCATTTGTCTGTCTCATGCATATAAATCTAGACTAGCACCACTGAATTAAATGAAGAAAGAGAGCAGTATTTGTATTTTAGGCTGACATTTAACAAATCTATTTAAGTATCTCTTGGGTAATGAATCTCAGACTTGCTAATATTTGCACTAATGCTTGGTGCCTTCTTAACCAGTTGTCTGTGTATTACCTCAGCCATAGCAATACAGTCAAAGAAATAACATTTTGCTCTAAGGCCATCACTGGGGATATTTGATGACTTCATTGGCTTAGATAAACTGATAGAATAAAAGGTTGGTTTTTTTGTAGAAGATGCATAAATAATTTTATCCTTACACTAAGTACCTCTGAGCAACCACACATCGGGCTTTTGTGCTGTGAAAAGCAAGAATTTGGATTCTAATCTTTACTTATGATTACTTCATTTCTTCCAGCGCTTATCAATTCGAAAGCCTGAAGACTCAAAGGCCAAACAAAAACAAGGAGACAATGTGAGGGAGAGAATCATCAGACGGGCTGCTTTAGAGTTTGAGGATGGCATGTATGGTATCCTTCATCTGTGCTATAGGTTAAACTGATGACTCATTAGAATAATACTACAGCTAGTTTGTTTAAGATGGGTTAATTACCATGCTCATTGTCTTTCACAGAGCTGGGCTTCTGTCATTTTATTAATACCTTGTTGAAATATATAGGATGTTGGGGAATAGGGTACATGGAGTTTTTATCCAAGCATATCTGGAAAGTTTGTTAGCAGTTGAATGTTTTGAAGAATTTCTCAAAAAAGTTACGTACATTGAAAATGAAGGTTACTTGCACTGTGGTTTTTTATAGCATGTAAAGCATTGACAGAATGCAGTTAAACAATCCAAATGGCAAAATAATTCATCACAAATATGGGGCATCTAACTAAAACTGAAAGTGTTTCTGAAGAGAACAGTTCTAGTCATAGTAGAATGATTTTTTTTTTTTTTTTTTAATTTACTAGTTTGCAGTATGTTCCTGTTTGTGCCTTAACCTATTCTCTTCAGCTAATCTGGGTATTGGAATCCCACTGTTGGCCAGTAACTTCATCAGTCCAGACATAACTGTTCACTTACAGAGTGAAAATGGAGTCCTAGGCTTGGTAAGAATATATCTTGGTCCCTTACTGCAGTGTACTTACCTTGCAGGGGCTGAGTTTCATTCCCCACACACCCCCAGCTTGATCAGAATTTTACTAAAAGTCATATTCAAATATATGCCATATTTCATGATCATAAAACTCTCATTAGAAATCTTTATTTCAGGATTGTAGTACTGCTTTGCCAAATATGTTTTTAAGTACATGTTTTGCTAGAAGGAGTCAGAAACTTCAGTAGTTTTCAAGACCAAGCCTTGTAAGCCTCATTAAACATAATTTTAAATAAATCTTAAGGTAAACATTATTTTCACTGTTGTTTGGTTTTATGAAGTTTCACCTATCTACCTTTTTCTGAAAAATGTCTGTCACTTTGGTTAAACCCAAACCCAACCAAACAACCAAACCCCAGGCTTTCTGGTTATGTAACAACTCTAACAATATGTTCATCAGTTCTCATACGATAGTTGATGTAAATTGTGGCTTCTCTTGTCAGGGACTTTGTTCTGCTGAAGATTAAAAAAATGCAGGTCTGTGATGAACTGTTTTCAGTAACAAGCATTAGAAATAAAAGAAGTTGTGAATTCTCTCTCAAATGTATTTTAATATAAAGCAGACATATATGTATGTTGTTTTCAGGGTCCTTATCCGCTTGAAAATGAAGTAGATCCAGACCTGATTAATGCAGGTAAAATATTCAAATAAATTTATTTCATGGAAAATTGTTAATGAATGTTAATCTAAAAATATAATTTTGATTCAGTATATGAACCCAGACTCTTGGGTTCATATACTGAATATTATGAATATTAATGTATTTGTCTTCTTTTAACTGAAGGTTGGTTTTGATCAATGGAGATGTTTAATATTCTAGTTAAAGAGCTTATGCTTTGATGCATTCTAGTTGGTACTAAAGGAAGTTGTCCTTGAGGCCAGGCAGTAAAGGGTTAACTCTTCCTTTTCAGAAGTGAGATTGTTTTAAGCCTAGATGTGAATGTGGATTTGTTTTCCTGCTACTTTTCACCTTGTGTCTTCTAGAAAATGGTTTGTGTTTGGGACATGCTGTAAAACATCCTATGTTTCCTGGTCTGCTTTATTCCAGGCTAGTAAGTTGCAGGAATACAACTCATTTGCATTTAGAGAGAGAACAGTAGCCAGGGCTGGGGGAAAGAGCCTCCCAAAACAGCACCTGGCCACTGGAGGACTCTGCTGCAGATGGTTGGTTTTGCCATTTTAAGGGGGAAATGCCAGTCCTCACATACTGTTCTCGCCAAACTGGTTTGGGGCATGACACCTCAGAAGTAGCCATACAATGTAAAAATGTAAGCTTTTTATGGTTTAATGTGTCTTTCTGATATCTGTTTTCTTTATGGAAAGTTGTGCCTGCATCTGTTCTGTTTCCATGTAAAATTGCACCTACATATAGTATTGTAACAAACAAAAGTAGGCCTTGGCACGGTATAAATTCTCATTAATGTTAATGGTATAGGTTATAGACCCATAGCTGACATATTAGAGCTGTTCTTTTCATATAGAAAACCTGTGCATTTTATATTTTTTAGTTATCTGCTTTTTGTTTAATATTAGGATGAAGTCTATCAGTTGTTCACTGTCTTGAAACATTTGCTACCTGTCTTAACTAATTGATAATATTATCATTCTGCTATGTTATTGCCCTTCTTTCAGTATTATGTTTTAAATAAAAAATTGATTTGAAATAAGAAATTATTAAGGACTTGAGTCCAGCATTTCAATAGTAGCTAGGTAACTGCTGATGATAAACCGCACAAAGAAAAATGTCTTAGGGATATGAGAGCTATGTTAACACTTGAACTGAAAATGTTGTGTTTTGGTAGTTTGCTTTTAAAATTAAAGGTATCACTGGAAGGAAAAATTCAGAATAAAAAAATGGTTACTATAAGAGGTGACATTATATGCATGCACATTAGAACTTAAGTTCTAATATGGGTGCATTAGAAATGAACACATTAACAAATTAATGATGGGAAAAATATCCAAGAACTTGATAAATACTCTGAAGAATCACTGTGCTCTTATATGGATGTCAAGATGATCTTGAATTGTTGTTTATGGGTGATAAATATTTTTGAAGAGGTAATCTTGCAGGGATGAAGGTAATTTAGGAGGTCAGAATGCAACATTGGAAATAAGATTATTCTAGTATTGTTAATTCTTTGTTAAGCACCTTTACATCTTCCTCTGCAGCTGCAGTAGACAAGACACAGGATAGGCAAACCTCAGCTCTACCACCAAAATTATCATTATCATTGCTGAAGCATTCAGTAGCTGCTAAACCTCTCAGACACTTTAGTTGAATTAAGACCATTCTGGATACTTTCCAGCTAAATATATAAATACATGAAGAAAACAGAAACTATATGACAAAACACTAGGATTTAATTCTGTTTGTATTCATCTACTGGAATGGTCCTGTATCGGCCCCCAAAGTCTACATTTTAGAAATACACTCCTGGTTTGGGCTTTTGCCAGATATTGTCTGCAAATGCAGTTGTATTTCTCTGAAAAATGTATGGGTTCTTTTTCCCCAAAGCAGAGTTCTGTCTTACAGAGTAATGTGGTGCTGCTGGATCCTCAGCCTGTGTCTCTTTCAACTTAGCATTTTCTTAGCTTGTCACTTTATCCCAGGGTTCTCACTCCATCTAGCTGTTTGCAGGCTATGCTGTCTCTCCCACTGCTTTGGGTGGGTACCTGGTAGGGAAAGGCAACTGAGGCAGTTTTAGAAGGTCTGGATATTAACATGATGAACTCTTGAGGTCTGACTACAGGACTGCTGTATAACCTTAATTCTGTGCACTTGTGTCAAAATTACATTCTCATGCAATATCTTGGCCTATAATATACATCGAGTGAGCTCAGTAAATTGAAGCAAGTAACTTGGTCTCCATTTTAATTTCCTGCACTTTTTTCTTCCTTTTTCCCATCCTCTTAATTAATCCCATTGTCTTTTCCCCTGTTTTCTGGAAACTGTAAAGATGTCTCGTTCCTCTTTCCCTTTTTCTTCATAAAATCATCTGGTGATAAAGGCTTGGTTTATAATTTTGCCTTCAGCTGTGTTTCATATGCTTTTCCAGAGGCACTCTGTATGCATGGTTGTTGCTTAGACTGTTTCTGTGCTGGCAGGAAAGAAAGGGCCCTGGACAGAGTCAAAATAAGGCACTTCCATGTGTGCTTCATTGCTTGATCCAAGCACTGTGGAAAGAACAGTCCAGAACACAGAAGCGCATTCTCTGGTGCACTCTAGCAAAGCAAGAGTAGACTAGATCTGTAATTTATTTTTCTCTACTGTATGTTGTTATCACTCTAGACTGTTCAAAGCGATCTGCTCACTCTTCCTTGCAACTTCCCTCTCTCCTGATGATGCTCTTTCTGTTTCAAAAGAGTTACCTCTCACTTTTTCTGTAGGCAGAGCAGAAAGCTGAAATGCACAGAGATTTCTTAGCCTCTGGTGTCAGGGGTGTCTTGCCTGAAACTGTTGGTAGTCAAAGAGTGGACAGTCCTATCATTAAAAACTGTAACAAACTGCTACAATTCATTATGATTAGGTTTACATGTGACATAGTAAGTGTAATCAGGTCCATAGTTCTGCAGAATCCAAAGGAATTTGATTAAAGAACTTATCTTGGTCAATAGCTGTGACTTCATTTGTAAAAGAGACAGAACACGTACATACTATAGCTTATTTCTTTTACAGGTAAGGAGACAGTCACTGTTCTTCCAGGTTCTTCCTATTTCTCTAGTGATGAATCATTTGCAATGATAAGAGGGTACGTAACAACACAAACCCTGATCTTTTGAAACATGAAAAGAATAAACTGAGTCAGTGACTGAACTCATTAGTAATTCTTTGAAATGCAGTTAGCGTTTAACAACCTGTAAAATAAACGTGGATTTAAGCAGTGAGGGTTTACAGAGGATTAGGTCACACTATTGGAAATAGAAAACCACTGTAACTAATAGATACTATAGTGATGTTCATGTCTACCACCACCTGGCCATATATAAACACGTTTGTAACTATGTTTTAACAACTATTTTTTTCATCATTTCCAAGTACCTAATCTGTACTTGCACTCTGTATATTCTCTTTGCTCAGCTTGCAACTGTGATCATCATTTCACCTCCCTAATGGAAATTCACTATCTGCACCTGTTTTTTGTTTGTTTTGGGGAGAAGGAGGTTGAATGCAAACAAACACTAAATCCTAATGGCTCTGAAAAGATAATGAGCGCATGTAAATATGTGAATGAGTGCACTTAAAAGTATGAGTTCAGAACTGATTGACTCTGCATGCAGTAGCTAAACCCAGACAAAAAGTAGTAACATATTTGATGCTCAGTAGAAAAATTTGCATCAGTGATACATCTGCAGGGGAAAAAAAGTCCAGCTGTGTGTGTGAAAGAATGGTTGCTACCTCTGTGGTATGCCACCTTTTTTGTACTGATGTAATAATAACGAGAACAAAAGCTTGTTATGGTCTGTGGGCTGTTACTTGAACATGATAATGCTAATTACACACTTTCTGTTGCCAGAGGCCATGTTGATTTGACAATGCTTGGAGCTATGCAAGTGTCTAAGTATGGTGACCTGGCCAACTGGATGATTCCTGTAAGTAGATGTTTGTACTACTGTCAATGCACTATATTTAGGATAATATAAATGTAGCTGAGGGTCAGGCAAAGGAGAAAAGGGCTGAAGCATAATGGGTGTTGTGATGCTTAAAGCATTAAAATATAGGATATATTCAATTTTAAGGTTAATAGGTATTTTTTCCCGTTTCTGGCACCAAGCTGCAATTATCAGGAGTGACCCCCCTAAAATTATCCTTGTGCTAAGCATTGTGAAAAGCATAAACATTGTTTATGCACAAGCCTTTTTCCTTCCACTTGGGTCTATGCCTTTCAAATGTTACATTTCTTTTGCTGAGATCTTGTGCTTTTTCTTGAGACTGTCAACTCTTGTATAGTTGTGCCTGGAGCAAGAACTTGAAGGAAGGTGTAAAATAATACATAGCTCATAAAAAAAAAAAAATTAAAATGTCTGCATTATATTTCTCAGTGTTCCTGTCAAAGGATCACAGCACTGCAGTGTTGAATAAATATAGAAGGCAGCAATACTACTGTGTTCACCAAAAAATTCCTACAGGTTTCAACCATAAAAGTACAAGCTAATCCCAATATATTATTAAAGCAGTTGATGACATTAAGCCATTCTTTGAACAAAGTTTATGTTTCAGCATTAAAAAACATATCTACCTTTCACGTGGTTTGCAAGTTTAATATTTTCAATATGGTTCTTTCTAATACAGTTTTCATCAAAGACATCTAGAAACAAATTTTCTTTTTAGCCTGGTTTAAGGTAATGAGGCATATTTCTATCTGCCTGAGCACTGCTAAAAGTTTCAGGAGAGTCTTTTGAAAACTGAAAGCTGGGTAGAGGAGATAAAAAAAACAATGCATGTCCTGTCTCTTGGAGGAGCATTGGTTGAGCCTAGCAGTCTGTGTGACTTTTCCAGCAGGCTTGTGAGTGTACAAGTCATGGAGCAGTGGCTGGAGCATAAGCTGCTTTTAGCAAGAGGGGACAAAGAAAAGGTCTGTACAGGCAGATGTGGGAGAATGGAATATGTGAAGAGTGATTTCAGGTCTCCATGTGAGTGATTGTAAGGGAATGTGAAGGGGTTATGGCTGGGTTGGAATATAGCATATAGGAGAGAAATCCATAAAAAAACAGTCCTTCAATGTTGTCACAGCATAACCTGATTTTATGAGAACAGACAAATTAGTTCTGCCTAGATATTTTCATACTCCATTGATTGAAGTGCTAGCTTTTCGAGACATTTTTACTTGTGCTGTCATCAAGTATATAGTGTGAAAAACAGGGTCTGGAAATTAGTGCTTCTGTTAGTGTAGCACTCTGGGATCCTGTTTGTGCTCTATTGCTGTTTTATATGTTTTGATGGAACTCTGTGTTTTAAACATAACCTGACGATCAGATACAGTGTAAGAGTTCAAGTATGACATGCATTAAGTTAATACTGGTTAGTTTTGCATTTTCAATTCCAGTTTATTTTTTGTCTAGAGTTACAAAAACTTGTCACTAGAATCCAAAATGAAACCAGCCTCTGTTGTGAACTCACCACACACTTTGAAATATGAGGGGTAAATCAAATTAAATTTTGACCCTAGGTTTGCCGTTTGAGCCAAGGCAAAATTATGATAGTGTATGTTTTCAAGGAGTTAAAACCTTGGTTAACTGAAATTGGAGTTCATTTGGTTTATCCATGGCTTTGTATCTCAAAGGTATGATAAGTCACCCAAACTCAAATTACATATTTTAAATTGCTAACTTTGAAACACATTTAGTGAAATGTACTTTCTTCAGATGATCGACATAAATAAATATACGCTGTCAGTCCAGCACTGCAAGTACGTGTCACTGACAAGCTGAGTAGGATTTTTTTTTTTTGTGTCAGTCTAAGAACTACTCCTTTCTTTCACTGGATAAGGAAACTTTGTTTTTGTGAAAGCACTTCCTTCATGTTAATTTGGCATGGACATAGTGTTTTATACAAGTAGAAATTACTTGTTTCCATAGTGGCTTTTAAGAATGATTCTGAATTATTACATTCTCTGTCAAAATTTTAAAGATAGAGGAGAAAAAAACATTTAAACTTAGGTTGTTATGCTGTTATGGTATAAACTTTTTTTGGGGGGGGGAGGGTTTATTAGTGTTTAGAGATTTTTCTTATTGGCATAGCTCAAGATTATTTTAATCTATATCTCTTTTTCTTTCAATTGTCAGATAAGTTCTAGGTTTTATTTAGCTGAATTGCTTTAAACTGACATTCTCTTTATACTTTTGAAAAATGAAATAACACTGTATATGTAAAAGTGTCTCTAGACTATCTTTTGTATTCAAGATTACTTAACTCCTGAGATTTTCTTCTTTGACAGTCCTTTGGTCCTGTAAAAGCAGTGTTGAATGTTCCTGCACCTGTTAAAGCCTTATGTTTATTCAAACTGTTTTTGAAAGACCTATCAGAAAGTGGAAGGGGGTAGGTTGAATTTTAGGTAGGAAGAATAGCTGTATTTGCTTTATTGTTGATTTTGTAAATTGAAGTGGCAAGAGAAGTATTCTTCAAAATACCCAGTGAAAAAGTAATAAATAAATATTCCTGCACTAAAGTATTCCTATTAAACTAGCAAAAATGTACCTCTAGTGAGAGCTTATGAAGCTGAAATGTTTGAAAAAAGGCACTCCTGAATAGGTGAATAGGTTTTAATGCCAAAAAATCCCAGTAATTTCAACTGACCATATTGGTATCTCAGGATATGAAATTTTATGTGGTTGCATAATAGCTTTGAATCTAAAATCTATTCACTAGATCATTCAATCTTGAAAGGTAATGTCATGAGCCAGAGCAATTCACTACTTGTTTTCTTGCTTGGTTTCTTACTTGAGGTGGGTTTTTCCCTCCTTTTCTTTTTTTTTTTTTTTTTTAATTTTTTTTTTGTTTGTTTTTGTTTGCTTTTTTTTTTTTCAATATCCTAGACTTACACTGGACAAAAGCACAGCATTCACAGGCAATGCAGGCACACATAATATGTACAATAACATACAGTGCTTTCAGGATCTAAGTAATATTAACTTTTCCAGTAGCTTTGTGCAATTCTTACTTTCTTTCAGAATACTTTTTTCCCATCTGGAAGTTAAACTCATTTTTCTGATCATGACGTTGACATTCCTTCACTGACAGTTTTTGTGACTTATCTTTCAAGATCTGTTCTATCAAAAGATGAAGCCAGTATTTGGCATTAATAAAACAGGTGTATTTACAAATATAGTTCATGAAACATTGAAGTTCAGATTGTATTTTAAGTTTTTCTTAAAACTGGGCAGACTTATGTATTCCTTTTTTAAATGCTTTATGTTCTCTAAAAGATACTGATTTCAATTTAGCATCCATATCAAGGGCATTATTTTTCATATCTGTAATTGTATATTCTGCTTATGAAAATGCCTTTTCATTCTGTTCAGTCCCAAATTTAGGAACTATGTGTGCATTTTTAAAACAGGAAAGAATAAAATAAGACTTTTGCTAGCTTTTATTTGTCTTTTTGTTACCTTCGAGGTGTACCTTTTTACTAGCATACATGCATATTTGACTTTTTGCTACTTTCATTTGCCACTCTTACTAAGCTTTGGCTGTCTGTACATTTTCTTTGCAGTGACTTCATATATACTTCTGAGTAAATATGCCTTATGACACTCTAAATCCAGCCATTCAAATCATCAGTCATTTCCCTCAACTTACTTTATTTTGAGAATTGTTCAGATGCTTTTTAATCTGCTTTACTGCTGTTATTACTGTTCTACAGTACAGATTTGTAAAATGGGATTAACCAGCATGTAGGCATTCAGGACTTTCTGCTTTTCCTGTAAATAAGGTGGTATGTCATTGTCAGTTAAGTTGAATTGCGAGCATGATGTGTCTTCTTTTAGTCACAAGATTTGAGTGAGGTGATACAAAGATTGACTGCTGAAAGCTCATAGTGTAACAAAACTAAACTGTATTATTGTAACATTTTTTACTTAGTTTTGCATTTAGGTTTGGTTTAAGTACTTATGTACTAGTAGCTTTTGGATTCTTGGATTGATGGTATTCACCGTTATTTCAGAGGCAAGTGATAACTCTAAATTTTGTGTTTTGAATAGTACCATCAGGAAGCTACCCTTCTCCCATAAGAGCCCTAATGTGTGCATGTGAGTATTTACTTGCTCTTATTAGGAACTGAGCTAAGGAGGCTCATTGCAACAATAGCCCTTTCTTTGCTCTCATATGCTAATCTCTAATGCATAGGAAAATCCTATGAGTAAAGGAATAAGAGGGTGAGAATATTTTAAGTACCTGCAGTAAACAATGCTGTTTGCTTATGCAAAAGTTACTCCCTAAACACTGTCATTTATTGGTAGTTTTATTCTGTTAAGCACTACTACTTAATGGCTTTTCGTGTTTTTCCCTTTGGTATTTCTCCAACTAACAAGAGGGTTTCTGGAGAGGGAAAGGAGAAGGAGGCTGCAGAGAAGGAGGTTGTTCTCTGGGGAGTACCTGGGAACATAATGCAGCTGGGAGAAAGCGATGAGAAGTGGAAGAGAAACGGCCAGGCCACCACCACGTAGTAGGGCAGACAGGCCAGAGCAGATGGGAGCCCATGTCTGCTGGGAGCCACTGGGTGGAGCCACGTTTCACTTCGTGAGTGACAGGCACAGGATCTGACCTGTCTGTATCTCTCAAGCAACTGTCAGAAATTGCTGCAGGCAGGACAGCAGCATAAAACTGTACTGTCACAGCAGTCCTGGCTCCTGTGGCAGTTTGCATTGTGTCGCTTGGGATTTTAAAAGTTGTGGGGTTGAATGCACATCCCCCTGCCTCTACTTGTTTTGTCTGTAGTTCCTTTCTATTGGTGAATTTTTGAGACCCTCAGAATAGAAACATTTTATTAAACAGGTTTTTGTGCCCTTTTGGTTGCTACACCTTACTAAGAAGTATGGCTTTGTTTGCTACAGCCTTCCTAATGGAAGGTACCTGACTGCCATTGTGATGTGTC